GGGACACTGAGGGTAGAGTGTAGAAACTAACAAATAAATAAATAAATAACAAAAAATGTTCAAAGTCTTTTTAATATCTTCTGTGAATTTCTATAAAATCCAAAATAGTTACAAACTTCGTATTTAATTTATTTTTTATTTTATGCTTTTGTTTTTATTTAACTTTTGGTTTTTTGAGATGGGGTTTCTCAGTGTAACCCTGGCTGTCCTGAAACTAGCTTTGTAGACCCGGCTGGCCTCAAACTCACAGGGATCCTCCTTCCTCTACCTCCCACGTGCTGAGAACAAAGGTGTGCACCATCACACCCAAACTTCTTATTCCAAGAGGTAAGAATCAGGGCACACTTAAATCAGATAAAGCAAATTCACAGTGCCTAGTCTCAGCTTCTTCCTGTTCCCTTCAGTCCTGTAGCTTCCTTTCTGCCCAAACCAGCATCACATTGCCAAGATGGGTTTCCAAATTGAAGTGAATCCCTGACCTCCCCAGACCACAGCTTCTGTGCGCTGAATGTTAGAAGATGGAAACAGATTTTGTCTTTGTTGAAGTCAGCTATAGCCTTGTTTTCTTTCTTCCACCTTCCATCGTTTTCTCCATGCCTCCCCCCAATGATTCCCTATCTTTCTACTTTACCTAAAACTACTTTGTTCTGGAGAAGCCATTCATAACACAAAAGGAAATGACAATGCTTGTTGCTTACAGTAAAGCTTATAAAATAAGCAAATGTTTGATTTCATGTGAGTCATATTTTATTGACCCCTTATATAGACTGTAGACAAGGTGATTATTAAACCATAAGGTTTATATTTTTTCACTCACTTTTATCTGTTCTTTTATTTTTTCAAGTATAATATAATCATATTGATTCTTCCTTCCCAAACTTCCTATACTCCCCCTTTTTTAATTTAATTTAATAATTTTACAATACCATTCAGTTCTACATAACAGCCACAGATTCCCTTGTTCTCCCCCTTCCTACTCCCTTTCTTCCCCCCAGCCCACCCCTCATCCTATACTCCCCTCTTATCTGTCTTTTCACTTTCTTTGCTCTTTCTTTAATAATTGTTGCGTATGTATGTATAAATAAATTTATTTCTAAAAATATAAATACAACCCATTCATCTATATAATGTTACTTGTATGTATGTTTTCAAGGCTTACCAGTCTGTATTGGATAACCAATAGTTAACTCTTCTCTGGGAAAATCTGTGTCTCCTACTATCAGCATTCCTTCATTGCCAAGAGCTCATTAGCTAGGATTGAGGCTTTGTGCACTCTTCCATGTCTATTAAACCTTACATGTCTATTGTTGTTCTTTTTCAGCTCATGTTTAGACAGCCATGTTGGTGAGTCTTCATGTGTATAGCTTCTAACAATCTTAAGAGACACAATTTTACAGCGATCTCGATATCTTCTGCTTATTATTATGTTTCCAGAGCCTTAGGTGCAGGAGGTAGATTGTAGACATCGCCTTTGAGACTAGATTCCTCAACTCTGCATCTTGATTGGTTGTGGCTTTCAGCAATGGCCTCCATCTTCTATGAAAGCAATGAATGGTGGAGGAGAACCTACAACCAGCACTTTACTAAACAGCACAATCCCTAACTACATTCTAGTCATTTGTCCTTATCACACACATTCCTTTGCATAGAGTCTACTGATTTGGCTCACTATTGAATGAATCGTTCATTCTCTTTTATTGAGTTGT